AAGTGAGAGAGTAATTGTGGTAGGGGACTTGAATGCTAAAGTAGGAGAAACTTTTAGAGAGGGTGTGGTAGGTAAGTTTGGGGTGCCAGGTGTAAATGATAATGGGAGCCCTTTGATTGAACTTTGTATAGAAAGGGGTTTAGTTATAGGTAATACATATTTTAAGAAAAAGAGGATAAATAAGTATACATGATATGATGTAGGGCGAAATGACAGTAGTTTGTTGGATTATGTATTGGTAGATAAAAGACTGTTGAGTAGACTTCAGGATGTACATGTTTATAGAGGGGCCACAGATATATCAGATCACTTTCTAGTTGTAGCTACACTGAGAGTAAAAGGTAGATGGGATACAAGGAGAATAGAAGCATCAGGGAAGAGAGAGGTGAAGGTTTATAAACTAAAAGAGGAAGCAGTTAGGGTAAGATATAAACAGCTATTGGAGGATAGATGGGCTAATGAGAGCATAGGCAATGGGGGTCGAAGAGGTATGGGGTAGGTTTAAAAATGTAGTGTTAGAGTGTTCAGCAGAAGTTTGTGGTTACAGGAAAGTGGGTGCAGGAGGGAAGAGGAGCGATTGGTGGAATGATGATGTAAAGAGAGTAGTAAGGGAGAAAAAGTTAGCATATGAGAAGTTTTTACAAAGTAGAAGTGATGCAAGAAGGGAAGAGTATATGGAGAAAAAGAGAGAAGTTAAGAGAGTGGTGAAGCAATGTAAAAAGAGAGCAAATGAGAGAGTGGGTGAGATGTTATCAACAAATTTTGTTGAAAATAAGAAAAAGTTTTGGAGTGAGATTAACAAGTTAAGAAAGCCTAGAGAACAAATGGATTTGTCAGTTAAAAATAGGAGAGGAGAGTTATTAAATGGAGAGTTAGAGGTATTGGGAAGATGGAAGGAATATTTTGAGGAATTGTTAAATGTTGATGAAGATAGGGAAGCTGTGATTTCGTGTATAGGGCAAGGAGGAATAACATCTTGTAGGAGTGAGGAAGAGCCAGTTGTGAGTGTGGGGGAAGTTCGTGAGGCAGTAGGTAAAATGAAAGGGGGTAAGGCAGCCGGGATTGATGGGATAAAGATAGAAATGATAAAAGCAGGTGGGGATATAGTTTTGGAGTGGTTGGTGCAATTATTTAATAAATGTATGGAAGAGGGTAAGGTACCTAGGGATTGGCAGAGAGCATGCATAGTTCCTTTGTATAAAGGCAAAGGGGATAAAAGAGAGTGCAAAAATTATAGGGGGATAAGTCTCTTGAGTGTACCTGGTTAAAGTGTATGTAGAGTTATAATTGAAAGAATTAAGAGTAAGACGGAGAATAGGATAGCAGATGAACAAGGAGGCTTTAGGAAAGGTAGGGGGTGTGTGGACCAGGTGTTTACAGTGAAACATATAAGTGAACAGATTTAGATAAGGCTAAAGAGGTCTTTGTGGCATTTATGGATTTGGAAAAGGCGTATGACAGGGTGGATAGGGGGGCAATGTGGCAGATGTTGCAAGTGTATGGTGTAGGAGGTAGGTTACTGAAAGCAGTGAAGAGTTTTTACGAGGATAGTGAGGCTCAAGTTAGAGTATGTAGGAAAGAGGGAAATTTTTTCCCAGTAAAAGTAGGCCTTAGACAAGGATGTGTGATGTCACCGTGGTTGTTTAATATATTTATAGATGGGGTTGTAAGAGAAGTAAATGCGAGGGTCTTGTCAAGAGGCGTGGAGTTAAAAGATAAAGAATCACACACAAAGTGGGAGTTGTCACAGCTGCTCTTTTGCTGATGACACTGTGCTCTTGGGAGATTTGAAGAGAAGTTGCAGAGATTGGTGGATGAATTTGGTAGGGTGTGCAAAAGAAGAAAATTAAAGGTGAATACAGGAAAGAGTAAGGTTATGAGGATAACAAAAAGATTAGGTGATGAAAGATTGAATATCAGATTGGAGGGAGAGAGTATGGAGGAGGTGAACGTATTCAGATATTTGGGAGTGGACGTGTCAGCGGATGGGTCTATGAAAGATGAGGTGAATCATAGAATTGATGAGGGAAAAAGAGTGAGTGGTGCACTTAGGAGTCTGTGGAGACAAAGAACTTTGTCCTTGGAGGCAAAGAGGGGAATGTATGAGAGTATAGTTTTACCAACGCTCTTATATGGGTGTGAAGCGTGGGTGATGAATGTTGCAGCGAGGAGAAGGCTGGAGGCAGTGGAGATGTCATGTCTGAGGGCAATGTGTGGTGTGAATATAATGCAGAGAATTCGTAGTTTGGAAGTTAGGAGGAGGTGCGGGATTACCAAAACTGTTTGTCCAGAGGCTGAGGAAGGGTTGTTGAGGTGGTTCGGACATGTAGAGAGAAATGGAGCGAAACAGAATGACTTCAAGAGTGTATCAGTCTGTAGTGGAAGGAAGGCGGGGTAGGGGTCGGCCTAGGAAGGGTTGGAGGGAGGGGGTAAAGGAGGTTTTGTGTGCGAGGGGCTTGGACTTCCAGCAGCATGCGTGAGCGTGTTTGATAGGAGTGAATGGAGACAAATTGGTTTTTTAATACTTGACGTGCTGTTGGAGTGTGAGCAAAGTAACATTTATGAAGGGATTCAGGGAAACCGGCAGGCCGGACTTGAGTCCTGGAGATGGGAAGTACAGTGCCTGCACTCTGAAGGAGGGGTGTTAATGTTGCAGTTTAAAAACTGTAGTGTAAAGCACCCTTCTGGCAAGATAGTGATGGAGTGAATGATGGTGAAAGTTTTTCTTTTTCGGGCCACCCTGCCTTGGTGGGAATCGGCCGGTGTGATAATAAAAAAAAAAAAAATATTTACATCCCCTTTGTTTATTCCTGTTTTCCATTTATACACCTCGATCATATCCCCCCTAATTCTACGCCTTTTGAGAGAGTGCAGATTCAGGGCCCTCAGTCATAGGGAAGATTTCTGATACATGGGATCATCATTGTCATCCTCCTCTGTACGTTTTCCAGAGCATTTATATCCATTCTGTAATACGGTGACCAGAACTGAGCAGCATAGTCTAAATGAGGCCTAACCAAGGATATATAGTGTTGAAGAACAACCTAAGGACCTCTATTATTTATACTTCCTGATATGAAGCCAAAAATTCTGTTAGCTTTATTGCTAATGCACTGTTGTCTTGGTTTTAGTATTAATATCCACATTATTTAGTTTATATGTGGCATGGTTATTTACCTGTCCAACATTTAGAACTTTGCATTTGTCAATATTAAACTGCATCTGCCACTTCTCCGACCATTGCAGCAGTCTATTCAAATCATCCTGGAGTTCTCTAGTGTCCTCATTAGAATGAATTGGACGGCATATTTTGGCGTCACCAGCAAATTTGCTTGTGTCGCTATTTATTCCCTCATCTATGTCATTTATGTAAATTGTGAACAACAACGGGCCCAACACTGACCCCTGAGGAACACCGCTTGTGACGTGCCCCCATTCTGATTTCTCCCCATTTATGCAAACTCTGCTGCCTATTTGTCAGCCATGCCTCTACCCAGGAAAAAATTTCTCCTCCTATTCCGCGTGCCTTAAGTTTCCTCAATAGCCTCTGGTGTTGCCTTAAGTTTCCTCAATAGCCTCTGGTGTTGAACTCTATCAAAAGCCTTACTGAAGTCCATATACACAATATCATATTCATTACCATGATCTACCTCCTCAAACACCTTAGTGAAAAAAGCTAGTAAATTCGTAAGACAGGAACGCCCCTTTGTAAAACCATGTTGAGATTCATTAATCAATCTGTGCCTATCAAGATGGCTACGAATTGATTCTGCAAATATTGATTCCATAAATTTTCCCACTATGGAGGTAAGGCTTATTGGTCTATAGTTCGAAGCCAAGGACCTGTCACCTGCCTTGTAAATAGGTATTACATTTGCCATTTTCCACTTATCGGCACTATGCCAGTTTGTAGTGATATGTTAAAAAGATTAGCCAAAGGTATGCTAAGTTCCTCTTTACATTCCTTTAACACCCTTGCAAACAGTTCATCAGGGCCTGGGGATTTGTTAGGTTTTAGTTTCTCTATTTGTCTGAGGATCATGTCACTAGTTACCGCAATCGTGCATAGTTTACTTTCTTAGGACCCATGGTTAGAAAAAAGAAATTTGGCAAAATAACTGCACAAAACGCAAGCACAACACAAGAGAGATGCTTCCACGGTGAGGTAAACACATGCACTGCTGAGCAGATGTTGTAGCGTTCACTGCACCAACTAGTGGTGGTGTTCTGAAGCTTGCTCATAACTCAGATTTTGGCTCGTAACTCAAAGCAAAAAATCGACCGAGCAACAGCTCGTAACACGAAGAACTCGTACGTTGGGGCACTCGTAAGTCGAGGTTCAACTGTACTAATATGATCTAGGTTATATAAACTTGTATAAATGTGCATATAACCACAAACAAGCAAATTAAAAAACAGCCACACCATATATGACAAAGCAGCAGCAGAACATAACCAGAAATGTTCAGATCTGTACAATTATCACTCATGGCGAGAGTATGGCTTGTGAAATCACTTCTTCACCAGTATTCACAATTATTTATGCATACAATAACCTTACCACTGCTTTAAGAGCTTCATATTAGTATCCAATGCAACACTGCACAGCAATTTGTTTTAAACACTGGATACTTCCCACCAATGTATAGTGGCACAGAAAGGAATAAAAATTCAACATTACTCATTTTCTAGTAACTGCAATTAACTAACATAACCTTGCAAGTCTGTTAACAGTTAAGAGGAGAACCAAACAATACTGTTTCATGCCCTCCCTTACACACTTAACTGAAGGACTTAAGTCCTGGAGGTGGAAAGTAATATACCTGCACTCTAAAAGAGGTTTGAGATATCTGTTGTTTAGAGGAACATCTAAACTGTGGTATCTGTGTGCCTTTGGAAAAACAGCGAGTGTAAATGATGGTGCAAGCTCTTCTTCATCGGGTGACCCTACCTCGGCGAGAGACGGCCAGAATGTTAAAAAAAAAAAATCCTTGTCATACCTTGGAGGAGTGCTGTGCTGCGGTGAGGGATCTAGCAGGCTGCACTGAGCTTCCTCTTCTACCAGAGGGGGATCTGGGACGTGGAGAACCAGGAGAACGAGCCGGAGTGTCATTATTGCTGTCTTGCCAAACTCTTGACACATGTTCATCTACAGAGGAGGATGTTTTGAAATTTAACACAGTCTAAATGAACAATGATTTACATGATCATGCTACATATAGCTAAAAAAAGAAGTGTGGAATATAAATATTATTCATACTAATTCCTAAGTGACTATACAACTGTTTACATTTTTATTCTTTCTCAGCCTCTTTTCCAACCATTACATTATAATATACTTTTATGTAAGTGATACCATCTACTTATCACATTATACTGTAGTATCATTTATTTTTTATTATTATCACACTGGCCGATTCCCACCAAGGCAGGGTGGCCCGAAAAAGAAAAACTTTCACCATCATTCACTCCATCACTGTCTTGCCAGAAGGGTGCTTTACACTACAGTTTTTAAACTGCAACATTAACACCCCTCCTTCAGAGTGCAGGCACTGTACTTCCCATCTCCATTTAGTCTTCATATTTCAAAACTAAGTACCCCAATACACTGTTTTTTTTTTTTTTCTATTCTGCACAGGTCAAGCAAGCATGGTATATACGTACTTTAAAATCTACCAAACCCTCACCAATGCTTTGTATTATATTTCCCTGATATACATAATCAATTCCTTCAAATACTGTACATAAAAGACAAATAAATGAAAAGATAATTAAAAAGGCATCTGTATTTATTCTTCACTAGATATAGAAATGTTCCCCATTTAACGATGGTTTGACTAATGATATTTCGACTTTATGATGGTGCAACAGTAAAGTATATTCAGTACTGTACATTTATTGACAGGATAAACTTGTATTCATTTATACAATTTTCAATACTGATATTTAATTAGTTTCAGTAATTATTTATTTCCTGTAATTGTTTTACATGATGGTAGGATTGCTGGTGTCCATTTTTCTGTCTCATGAACATGCAAGGTTTCAGGTACATCTTGCTACTTCTACTTACACTTAGGTCACACTACACATACATGTACAAGCATATATATACACACCCCTCTGGGTTTTCTGCCATTTTCTTTCTATCTTCTTCTTGTTTATTTCCTCTTATCTCCATGGGGAAGTGGAACAAAATTCTTCCTCCGTAAGCCATGCGTGTTGTAAGAGGCGACTGAAATGCCGGGAGCAAGGGGCTAGTAACCCCTTCTCCTGTATAAATTACTAAATTTGAAAAGAGAAACTTTTGTTTTTCTTTTTGGGCCGCCCCGCCTCGGTGGGATATACGGCCGGTGCGTTGAAAGAAAGAATTATTCATTTACTTATTCAGTGACAGTAGTTATTTATTTACTTATTAACTTATCATGATATATATTCATATTCGACTTACAATATTTTCAACTTATGACGGGTTCATTGTGACGTAACCCCATCGTAAGTCAAAGAGCACCTGTATATTTACCTTTGAGGGATTTTGAGTTTTCTTACTCCCAGAGTCCAGCCCTGTGGCAGGTAAACCACTCCAGATAACTTACCCAGTATGGACTGACAAGGATCTGAATCATCAAGGGGAATCTTCTGTGTCAGCTTGTCGAGAAGAAGTGACGGAGGGAGACTGTTAAAGGCGTGTTCTCTCCGGCACTCGTCAGACACATTGTCCCCCTGCAATGTGGTAAGCAAAAGCACACTAAGAGGCTTTCCCTTCTTCATACTTACAAAATCAGCAAGTATTAACAACTCTTCCAAGGACCTCTGCATTAAAATGAAAGACAGGGAAGCCACAATGATAGCTGAAAGAAAATTCAAAGACATGTCAAGAACAGTGAGAATCAATTAACCACTTCACTGTCCGTGCCACAGTACTACGAGTCTGGAGTCTAACCGTGCTGTAGAACTATGCGACGAGCTTAGCTCACTCAGATAATCGGTGAGAGGTAAATTGGAGCCTAGATATGAGAGAACTGGTTGATGCAGTAAGTATGCACCATATAGAAAGAAATCCTGCCACACGCAGTACATAATGGAAAAAAAACTGCAGCAGTGTTAGATATGGAGGACATATTACCAAAATAAAAAATTATGCTGATTGGTTTCAGGACTGGAAGTAGGTGAAACTGAGCTCAAAGTAGCAGAAATATTTAATTTTTGCTAGTCCAGAGTAAACAAATCAGATTACTCATCCAATACGTGTCCAACTGGTTGGTCTAACATGCGTTCACAAATGTACTGACATCATTTATACAATTATTACAATAATGCATAACAGTAAATCTATTTTTTTGTGAACAAAATTTTTTTGTGTGAATAAAAATTAAAAATGGAATTCATGTGTAAAGCTTCAAAACGTAACTAATGAACAGAGGAAATGTTATTTTAGTGCCAGGAATGCCTGCATTGTTTATTCTGGACCCTATTTTGAAATTGGCATATTTTCAAATGTGTGTGAAATTGGCCAAATTTTAAATTTATGATCACTTTACTGGGTAGCTGAAATAGGCGACTGGGCAGCTTCTTGTACTCAATCGATAAAATGGAAGTCATACCAGCGAAATAGCATAATTGGCCTAAAACAGAACTCGGTGGGTAAATCACTGATACATAAATATTGATGACAGCAAAATTTGCGGAAGTGTAGTTTCGTAAGTTTCTCATCAAATTTTGTACTTTTTATTTTATTACCTTCAGAGAAAGATTCTCTACCATTTCATAAGAAAAAATGCATTTTTTTTTTGTTAAATTTTTGGACCCTGTGGACACTTTTCTGACTGGGGGTCTAGACACTTAAAAGGATCAAGGATGTAAAAGATAACGATTTTACAGATGTGTGGTTACTTTATCATAGCCACAGGTAAACTCTGGATAAAATAAGACTACAATGTAAATGAATATACGTATGTACCTGATAAAATCTAGTCAACATATACCAAGTGAAACAAATTAAAGTAACCCAACTCACCTCCTGGATCTTCTTAAAGGACTGTTGTACTTTCTCCTGTGATTCTCTCTCCCTCTTGACTTTCTCCAGTCGTTCTATTAACAATGCAGCAAACTCCCCAGGCTTCATGTTAGGAATGGATTCGTGCCGGAGACGGTGAGTGCGAGGCATAAATGGCACACCACCGTGGAGGATCCCAGTGCCTCCCTGACTGCCAGAAAAGCTGCTCACTCCAGCAGCACTCAGGCAGAGCTCTCGATTCTGACGCGCATTTTCTCTCATTCTGTAGTATTGTCTTTTAAGATATTTAGGGTTGATGGGGCGACCTACTGACATACCATCTCTGAGGAGAATAAACAAAATCAGCAGATATCCTTTAACAACCAAACAGGGTTGATGGGACGACCTACTGACATAACCATCTCTGAGGAGAATAAACAAAATCAGCAGATATCCTTTAACAACCAAATAGCGTGCGTGAGTGTGTTAGATAGGAGTGAATGGAGACGAATGGTATTTGGGACCTGACAAGCTGTTGGAGTGTGAGCAGGGTAATATTTAGTGAAGGGATTCAGGGAAGCCGGTTATTTTTATATAGCCGGACTTGAGTCCTGGAAATGGGAGGTACAATGCCTGCATTTTACAGGAAGGGTTTGGGATATTGGCAGTTTGGAGGGATATGTTGTGTATCTTTATACGTATATGCTTCTAAACTGTTGTATTCTGAGCACCTCTGCAAAAGCAGTGATTATGTGTGAGTGAGGTTAAAATGTTGAATGATGATGAAAGTATTTTTCTTTTGTGCAGTAAATGTCATTTACATTTGTTTACATCTGTTTAGTGTGACTGAACAACGAATGTAAGTGAAAGATGATATAAAGAATAAAAGGCACAATACTGTGACTGGAACAATACACAAATAACTCTCACATAAGAGACAAACATTCACACCTCTATGAACACAGATGTGTAAAACTTTTCAACACGCTAGGTGTCTCCCACCAAGGCAGGGCGGCCCACAACAGAAACAAACACTTTCACCATCATTCACACATAATCACTGTCTTTGCAGAGGCATGCAGATACAACCGTTTAGATATCACTCTAAACAGCAAATCTCTATATAATATAATTTGGAAAAAAAAAAAGTTGAAACAAAGCAACTTGCTTCACACAGCAAGTACTCATGTTGCTATACAATGATCACCAACATCACCTTCACAACAGCAAGTACTCATGTTGCTATACAATGATCACCAACATCACCTTCACACAGCAAGTACTCATGTTGCTATACAACAATCACCAACATCACTTTGAAACCTCCATATCTTTAAGTAATAGTCAGTTCTCACACATTCTCATCTAAAATCAGTGCGAACTTTTTTGCAAGACAAAATAATTTATATTTTTTCAAACTCGCTGGCACTGCGGGCACATTTATTTTAGACCCTTTGGCAGTTTAAGGGTTAATACACGATACCACCAGCCTGAAACATTAATGTCTGATGACGCTGGTTAAAACAACAAATATATCCTCATTTTAATATTAAAAACCCACATTTTACTAAAAGATAAAAAAAAAAGTTTATATAATAATACATTAAAAAAATACTGTCATCATATACTATGATCCTGTTATTTAATATACAAGATACAATAGTAATTAATGCAACAAACAGCTAAACTTATCTCCCATTTCTTTTTTCTACTTACAGCTTCATCTTAAATCTGTTTCAAGATGCAAAGTACTGCAGTCCAAGACTATACGTTACCACAGATCCCATGGCAACGCAAGGCAAAAGGGAAGCACATAGATCACACCTAAATCAATACCAGATACATGATGCTGTAGGTAATTATCAAAATCTCAACATTTTGTATTCATCTGCATCCCTTAAAATACTTCATACTTGTATACTCTCCTATTGCTTACTCTCTTAACATTCCTATATATTAATGTCTTTATTCCTTCACAACTTCATGGACAAAATTTCCTAGGCAGAAAATGATGCCACCATCCATCATCTGTCAATGATTACTGCCCTCCCCCTCCCCAACCTCACGTCAAGTCTCCTGAATGAGAAAGGAAATTCTGTATTACAAGAAAAAGAACTATTAAGAAACACACAGAAAATATACTGTAAATGTAAACCGAGTGTAAGTACATAATTGTAAGATTAATCTGTCCTCTTACATGATCATGAGGCAGAAAGAAAAGACCAGAAATCCTGCCAAAGTGCAAAATATTAACAGGCTTCCATTTCGCACTGGTATGACAGGAGGGTAGTAGCTTCATGGGTAGTTGTTGTCTAATAGCTCCAAGTAAGTCAAATGCTGCCTGAGCTAGAATGAGCTTGAAGCAGAAAAAGCAACATGAAAGCATTATGGCAAAATGTGCAACATGTGTTGAGCAGCAGCCAGCTGGTGCAGACAAGTGTACTCACACAGAAGAATCAGTGCAGGAGAGGGTGTCGTCGGTGAGAGCGTCAGAACTCAGACTCTGCAGTTCTGAGTCCTGTCTGCTGGACACGTGCGCCGAGGAGTAAATTGCGTGGTAGGGGTTCACACCCCCTCCAACACAGCTGCTGCTGCCATGCAAATATTGCCTAGAATATAAACACAATAAAATGGTAACTAAAAACAAGGAAAAGCAAAACAAACTAAAGGTGAAAACTTTAGCAAACTTAAACTAAAACTGAGTACAACATAACCAAGAGGAGTGAAGCATACATACTAGTAAACAAAAGCATAACAAAAAGTGAAAAAAGAACTAATTCAGTAAGTAGCAAAACAAAAGTAATTTATTTACAAGCAAAAAACTAGAAAAAACTGGGTTAATCTTCAAACAGTGGACTTTAAGCGATGACACTCAATAATGTCAACACTAGCACCTACTGCCAGGCATCACCAACACAAAAACTGCGTTCAAAGCTTAACTTCCCTTCACTTGACCATACAAAAAAGTTTTGTTCCTTTTGTGCTTTCTTCATATGGTCAAGTGTCTTCATCAGTCTTTCCTTTCCAGCTTAGCTTTATCATTCTCTTCAGAAATTTACCAGGATTGCATACTCCACATGTCCCAACATTAACTTTTGTTTTAATTTCTTGCTAATAAAGTATACCTGTAGCATAACTGACTAGCTTTAACTTATTTCTCTCGTAACCAGTCCTGAGGTCGAGGTTCCTTGGAAACCACCTGATCACCTAGGCTGCTGTTGCCTGCGACCCATAGGAATACATGGCCATCTTAGCCTAGCTGATCAAACAACCTGCATAACATGTCCAGTTTCCTCACGAAAACTAACCTTGTGTAAAAACACGAAGAACCATAGTATTTTGAGGATTTATATATAGGAGGGATCTGCATATATTGCACCTCTTTTCAATGTTCCATGTTTTCCTTGGCTTCAAACTGAGCCATTGTTCATTATGTTCCATGCGCCGGCGATTGTCACCAGTGCGTGGAACAATGGCTCAACTGAAGCCAATGAAAATGTGGAACACTGAAAAGAAAGCTATATACGAGGAACCCGCCTGTAGTTGCTTGTCATAGATGTGAATCACCAACTAATACATACTGCCAAATTAAAATTTTACAAAATTCACTAAAATATGTATGTTGTCCCTTTGCACAAAATGCAAATTCCAAGAGAAATGCTACAAGAACTACTACATGAAACAACTACTTTATGAGATACACACAATACATTACTGATCTGTATGCTGGTGATCTGGCTTGCAGATAAGACTGAGGTTTACTGCAGCATATATTCATAACTAAATGATGAACAAATGAATATTTGTGAACATTTCAATACTTGCATGTAAAATATTGTGTGGCCAAATCTACAAATCGGTAACAAAGTCTTCCAATGTGACTGTTTAGAATGTGAGATAAACACAAACTACAACGCAAAAACCTTGTTTCTCTCATTTATAATCAACCTTATCATCATCAGTTTGATTTACATAAACTTTTGTAATAACAATAATAATAATTTCTTATTCACTACAAAAAAAACTGCAGAGGAGCCATGGTATTTTGACCAAACAAGTCCACATAACAAGCCAGTAACTGCAAAAACTTACTGGACCTAGGAAAAATTAGTATTACAGCAATGTTACAAAAATTCAGAAAAAAAAATCTAAGAACTGAAAAAATATTATGTATATCTTTGGAATGGGAAATTTGTATTAAAAAATTATACCATTAGCCACTGTGTACAATATTTTGTTTAGGAAACAAATATTTTGTAACATACGGACTGCTTTCCACCAAGGAAGGGTGATCCGCCAAGGCAGTGATCCACCAAGGCAGTGATCCGCCAAGGCAGTGATCCACCAACGCAGTGACCTGCCAAGGCAGTGATCCACCAAGGCAGTGACCCGCCAAGGCAGTGATCCACCAAGGCAGTGATCCACCGAGGCAGTGATCCACCGAGGCAAAGACCCACCAAGGCAGTGATCCACCAAGGCAATGATCCACCAAGGCAGTGACCCACTGAAGCAGTGATCCACTGAGGCAGTGGCCCACTGAAGCAGTGATCCACCAAGGCAGTGGCCCACTGAAGCAGTGATCCACCAAGGTAGGGTGTCCATAACAGGGTGACCTACCAAGCAGAATGATTTGCCAAGGAAAAACAATTACTGTCAAATGGCCCAGTGAAAAAAAAAAAAAGGCCCTGAAAGCCTAAATTAATTTCACGAGAAAAACTGCCAATGAAATATTGTGGTGACAAGTCACACTGTAACTGCCCACTGCCACCACCTTACACCCTCATAATAAGGCACTAAAGTCTTCATCATATCATAAGTAATGTGAAAACCCACAAACACCTTTTTTCCATGCTTAGTAACTTCAGCTTCAGTAAAATCATTTGTTTTACAATGAAAACAGAGCAACATGTTTGTAGAAATATACACCAATTTTTCTAGGAACCTCTACACATACTTGAGTATTTGAAGTGACATATGGTAACACTGTGGCAATTGATGGTCAATAAGACCCTTCAGTAACACTTCAAAGATCTGCTTCATACCAAGTGGCTTATCAAGCAGGCTGTGCACATGAAGAGATGCTGTCACCAAAATCTGCAGTCTAAGACTTACCCAGCAAAAGCTTCAGGTTTTCTTCTCTCGGCACTGGCACGCTGTTTGACTGTGGCTGCCAGAGCTACCTGGGTAAGCCGCAGCTGAGTGCCCGATGCACTGCCCTCGTACTCACAGTCTTCATGTAATGTGGGTAGTACTCCACCACCACCAATAGTTCCAGGACTGCCAGGAGACAAGGTGTGGGGAGAGTCCGTGCCAATGCCACCAGCATGCTGAGTGGCAGCTGCCAAGTAATTTAGGTAGCTTTCACTCTTCAGGAAGCTCGGATACGTGCTGCGTTCTATCTCCACCTCAACCTACAACAAACAAATTAGTATGACTCCACTTGCATTTATCTTCCAGAATAAATTTTAGAATGATACAGCCTAATACTCTTACTACATGTTGGTACACCTTAAAAACTTTCTTACTCTTAAAAAAAACAAAATATAATCTTAAATCTTTCCTCATATTCAAGATGATCCTTGTCAGTGAACAAATCTTATCCCAAACAGACTATGAGAATTACCAAATTTAAAATTAAATAACAGTACAATACACACGTAAGATCATCAATCGAATTTTATCTCTGAATAATATACAAACGTGTCCAGTGGTAGACAGAGGGTATTGTACAATTACCTCTCTCTGTGCAGCATCAAATATATTGTGGTCAATGTTGCGGGCATTGATGCGATCATTGACTAATTTGTACGTCTTTTCCGTGACCCGCACGGCGTAGTTCCTGATGAATTTCTTCCAGATGATGGTCACTAGCTGCGACGGGTCCGGGTGATCAGACTTCCTGAGTCCGTTGCAGGCGAACCAGAAGTTGAGCGACTCACAGGTGCCACACTCTTCCTTGAGGTACTCTTGGAAGAGGTGCACTCCCTGGGGGTCCTCTAGTAGGTGTAGGAGAGACTGCGACCATCGAATGGCAGGCGGGGTCGAGCCACCCTCACCGCCACCACAGCAGGGAGAGCCCGCCTCCATTGATCCTGTGCCTACTGCTGGACCATCACCTCCACCCTCACCTGTTGCAACAATTCAAATATAAAATGCCACTTCCTTGTGAAAGCATGAGAACTATAAAGGGAGAAAAAGAGAAGGAAATAGACAAGATCAGAGCCTAGAAGCAGTGAAGGGAAGGAGGAATAGTGTGATAGAGGAAATAGGGAGGATGAGCAGGAACGAGAGATAATATGGTGGAGTGGAAGATATGGAGGCAGGGAGAAAAAAGATAGAGGTGTGGAAATAAGGAAGGATAGGTGGGGGAATAAGGAAGGGTAGGGTAGGCCAGTGCTTCATGGACTAGCTAAGTGTGAGAGAGCTCTCATCTAGGTAGTCAATGATCGCGGTAATTTTTATCCAGTTAGCTGGACTTGGGTCCTGGAAATGGGAAGTATAATGCCTACACTTTAAAGGAGGGGTTTGGGATACAGGAAGTTTGGAGGGACTTCTAAACTGTCGTATCTGAGCGCCTCTGCAAAGACAGTGATTATATATTAGTGAAAGTGTTGAATGATGATGAAAGTATTTTTCTTTCTTTTTGGGCTTTTCTTTCCTTTTAGGTTACACTGCCTCGGTGGGAAATGACCAGTGTTAAAAAAAAAAAAAGGTAAGGAGGTGGAGGAATAAGAATACGGAGGCAGAGGAATGAAGACTGAGAGATGGGGGAAAGAAAGGACAGGAAGGGAGGAGGATAGGGAGGTGGGGGAAACGAGGATAGGGAGGTGAACCATTTAGGACATGTAGGGGAAAAATAAGAATTGGGATGTGGGCAATAAGGAGGCAAGAAAGAATAGGAAAAAAGGGAAAAGATGGGACAAGGGAAAGAAAAGAGGAGGAAGAAAGATATCCCACTTCCTACTTGGACCCAGAATATTTCACACAATAGAATCACCATTGGGAGCAAGGGGCTAGAAACCTCTTCTCCTGTATATATTACTAAATTTGAAAGGAGAAACTTTCGTTTTTTCCTTTTGGGCCACCCCGCCTCGGTGGGATACGGTTGGTGTGTTGAAAGAAAGAAGAATCACCATTAGTACCATTAAAGGTAATTTTTTGTTTTACCTCAACACCATCTCCTACCAAGGCAAGGTGACCCAACATAAACACATTCACCAACATTCATTCAATCTCTGTCTTCCAAAGCCCTACTAATGAAAAGTCAATTAAATTATATATATTCCAGAGTATAATGGAAACAACACTTTTATATCGGGAGTGGGTGTATTGAGCAAATTATGTGAATATTACACGAGAGGATTCAGGGCACAGAAATTAAAAGGCAGTGTGGGGTCACCAAGGGTGACCCCAGACTGATGATGGGGGTAGGGTGGAAGATAGGAGGGATAGGGCGTCATACCAGGAATGGTGGAAGGGAGGATGTAATGGATACTAGAGTTTTGGGGGCTTACTTAAGTATCCAGGCAGCTTGTGCAAGCATGTTAGATAGGAGTGAATGGAGCCAAGTGGTTTTTATGACTTGATGTGCTCTTGGAGTTTAATCAAAGTAATGTTTATGAAGGGACCGAGAGAAACCAGTTAGCTGGACTTAAGTCCTGGAGGTGGGAAGTATAGTGCCTGCATTATGAAGGAGGGGCAAGGATGCTGCAGTTTGGAGGATCACACAAACTGATGTCAACACACCTCTGACAAGACAGTAGGTGGGCGACGGTCGGAGAGTAAAACAAAAATAAAACTGCTAGTGATGTTAGCTTAGAATTTATGACCTTATCTCACCTTGAAAATGTGTGTAGGGATGATGGGATGTATAAGGCGAGAGGCAGTGGGAGGTCTTTCCCCAGTCTCCTGGGGGGTCCTTTCCCCACTCCCCAAATTGCGGGTGGTGGTGGTGGTGAGTTTGCGGCATGTCTTCCCCACCAGGAACAGGCGGCCTTGGGTTTGGCCTCCCGCAGCTTTCGTCTCCACCCGCATCCTCCCCATCACTGATGACAAATATTAAATATATTTAATATTATTACCCCTCACATTATAACAACAGGTGAACGAAGCACAGACAACCTTAAACGGCTCTAATTATACATAATGGATTCAAAACAAACATGACAGCATTCTTCCTTAACATTCAACAGGAACTGATATTTCCTACCCTATATCAGTATTACAATGTAAATAAATTACCAATAAGCAATGACATTATCAAATACACTTTGGCAAGCTTAGCAAAACCTTTTCTGGAAAGCACTGAAACTATCTGAAATTTCCAAAGATAAGGGTTTACACTTACAATTACTTTATCCCCACACCCTAGACACATACTATACTTCCACTATAGGTATTCAATGTTTTTTTAAAGTGGGTTGAGAACGTTGCAGTTTGCTGGGCCAAACTGGGCTTTTTTTTTATATTTTTTTTTGTCAACAAGTCGGCCGTCTCCCACCATCAGCCATCTCCCAAAAGGTGCAATGACCTAAAGAGAGGAAACTGATTTGCACTGAAGAAGTGTACAGACATTACAAATTGAGTGACCCTCCATAGTGTAATATCAGCACCACCACCTCAAGAGTACAGGCACTGTACTTCCTACCTCCAGGACTTAAGTCCAGCTAAGTAGTTTCCCTCAACACTTCCCTCACACTTGCTTACTGGCTGCTCAAGCCCCTACCACTCAAAATCTCCTTTATACCCTCCCTCCAACCCATCCTGAGACAACCCATACTCCACTTTTTTTTCATCCCCGATTTACACACACTGTAAATGTTCAAACCACTTCAACCCAGCCTCAACCCTCTGAATTATACCTTTAGTAATCCCACACCTTTTTCTAACTGCCATGCTCTGAATTCTCTGCATAATATTCACACTACACATTGTTCTCAAGCATGACATCTCCAAGAATTCTTTTATATTCATGGGGAAGATATAAGCCCATAGGGGTTATACTGCACCAGGGAAAGGTTGTTATTTAAATGGTTTGATCCATTTAACAAATAATAACTGAAATAATAGTAATAACCAAAGGTTTTCAATCATTTGACCTGTGTTGTGTTTGGGGGGTCTGATGTGAAGAAGAGGCCGATGTTTGGGGGGCGGTGGTAGGGTCCCCAGCCTGCCCCCCAGAATAAGCTCCTGGGGGGGGTTCGGCCGCGCTGCTGCTCATCTGGCCAACACCTTGGTGCTCGTGCCGCTGCTGCTGCCGCTGCTGCTGCCGCTGCACTGTCTCGCTTCACACCGCCAACACACCATCCCGACGCCTCAAACCTGCTAAACAAAACTTACTTTTAGAATTAAAATTAGTAATACATGTTATAATATTCTATTTATTATTAACACATCGGCAGCCTCCCACCAAGCCAGGGTGGCCCAAAAAAGAAAAACTTTCATCATTCACTCCATCACTGTCTTGCCAGAGGTGCACTTACACTACAGTTATAAAACTGCAACGCAATAGATGAAGACAAAATTAATGTTAAATACTGTACATTACCATATACTGTATTATTATTATTATTGTTCAATGCACTGGTCAACTCCCATCGAGCTAGGGCGACCTAATACGAACAACGAAAGTTTTTCTTTTCGCATGTAGTAATTTGAACAGGAGGACTTACTAACCCCTCACTCCCAGTATTTTAGCTACATCTTACGATGTGCATGGATTGGGGAGGAAGGAATTATTATTATTCTTACTATTATTATTATTATTTTTTTAACAAGTCGGCTGCCTCCCACCGAGGCAGGGTGACCCAAAAAGAAAGAAAATCCCCAAAAAGAAAATACTTTCATCATCATTCAGCACTTTCACCTCGCTCACACATAATCACTGCTTTTGCAGAGATGCCCAGAATACAACAGTTTAGAAGTATATACGTATAAAAATACACAACATACACCTCCAAACTGCCAATATTACTATTATTATTATTACTATTATTATTATTGCAGTATTATATTCATATCTGTGACCTGTAGTTGTGATATGTCTGTGATCAACTTAAGGGCTTTTCTACCCTACCAGCTCAGCCTTTGGCCAAGCTTCCCTCCTGAATGACTGTTCAACCAGGCTGTTGTTAATCAAATCTGAGAACGAATGGGGCTCAAACCCATGGCAAGCAAGTCCTAAAACTCGTAGACCTGCAGCTTATAGAGGACTTTAGCCAGAGAATGGTAGTGTTATACTGGTGGAAGAGTCTTCTGTAAAAACCTGCATTTGCAGTCAGAGTAGGATCCATGCTAACCTCCTTATGGTGTACACAAATATACCTACAGCTGGATGAATCTTATTAGGCCAGTACGGTGAAGGGTGTTGCACGAATCATGGAGAAAGCATCAGTGTTTGCTGCTAGAGAATCAACAACCTAGAGTTTAAATTCTATCAACAGAGCTGCAACACAACAAATGGGCACAATAGATGGAACAAGTATCTCTCTGACATTCCACATGTATGACTCAACCTATTCAGAAACTCCATGCATATACAAGGGGAAAAATTTGGAACTCCCTGCCTGATAATGCCAAAAGTTCCCAATCAGCCAAAATCTTTAATAATTATGTTAAAAAGCACCTATTAAATCTCAATCAAATCTGACAACTCAATTGGGGTAAGTGGAGAAGAATCCTTCCTCTGTAAGTCATATGTCATAAGAGGCAACAAATGCTGGGAGCAAGCTGCTAGTAATCCCTTCTGCATAAATTATTAAATTTACAGAGAAGAAAAACTTTACATTTCTTCTTTTTTGGGTCACTTGCCTCACTGGTAGACAGCTAATGTGTTAAAAAAAAAAAAAATTATACAAATGTTGTACACTTACTTGTCTGTAAATTTTCAAGCTTAGATTTCAACCACTTCATAATATGCATGTCACTAAGTCAATGCAATTTCAATGTAATTTATCTGATGAATTCTTCGTTTGCACTCTGTCCACTGAACTTATCACTTAGTGTATTCCATAAGCTATATTAACTTAAATTTTATTCTAGATCTAGAATTAAGTAGAGTGGAACCCTGAATATCGGCCGGTGTGTTTATCGGCCGAATCGTATTTAGGCCGATTTTTGGTCGGAAATTCTACTCCATATTTTGGCCAGTGCCTCGCAAATCGGCCATATTATACGCGTCAGCCCACCTCCCACTGGGACGCAGCACATAGGTGAGTCAGTCTCCCTGTGTCTCTCAGTGAATAAGCCTATACACTGAGCATTCATCCAAGCATTTCCTTAAAATCCATTGGTTGTTGTGCTTGTTTATTAAGTGTAACTGTAAAATAAGCCACCATGGGCCCAAAGAAAGTTTCAAGTAAAGTTGCTTTGGTAAAGAAAGTGAGAAACACGATAGAACTGAAGAAAGAAATTGTAGAAAAATACAAGTGTGGTGTGCGTGTGTTCCAGCTTGCCAGGATATATGGCAAAAACAAATCAACAATCACTTCTATCCTGGCAAAGAAAGAACAAATCAAGGAAGCTGATGTGGCAAAAGGGGTAAGCATGTTAACGAGAGAGATCACAAACAACGGAAGATGTGGAGAGAGGCAGGGAGTGTAGCTGGCAGGCAGGGAGTGTAGCAGGCAGACAGGGAGTGTAGCAGGCAGGCAGGGAGTCTAGCAGGCAAGCAGGGAGTCTAGCAGGCAAGCAGGGAGTGTATCAGGCATGCAGGGAGTGTAGAAGGAAAACAGGGTGTAGCAGAGAGGCAGGGAGTGTAACAGGGAAACAGGGAGTGTGGAAGGGAGGCAGGGAGTGTAGCAGGCAGGGAGTGTAGCAGGCAGGCAGGGAGTGTAGCAGGCAGGCAGGGAGTGTAGCAGGCAGGCAGGGAGTGTAGCAGGTAGGCAGGGAGTGTAGCACACAGGCAGGGAGTGTAGCAGGCAGGGAGTGTAGCAGGCAACCAGGGAGTGTAGCAGGCAGGCAGGGAGTGTAGCAGGCAGGCAGGGAGTGTAGCAGGCAGGCAGGGAGTGTATCAAGCATGCAGGGAGTGTAGAAGGAAAACAGAACGTAGCAGAGAGGCAGGGAGTGTAGCAGGGACATAGGGAGTGTAACAGGGAAACAGGGAGTGTGGAAGGGAGGCAGGGAGTGTAGCAGGCAGGGAGTGTAGCAGGCAGGCAGGGAGTGTAGCAGGCATGCAGGGAGTGTAGCAGGCATGCAGGGAGTGTAGCAGGCAGGCAGGGAGTGTAGCAGGCAGGCAGGGAGTGTAGCAGGCATGCAGGGAGTGTAGCAGGCATGCAGGGAGTGTAGCAGGCAGGCAGGGAGTGTAGCAGGCAGGCAGGGAGTGTAGCAGGCAGGCAGGGAGTGTAGCAGGCATGCAGGGAGTGTAGCAGGCATGCAGGGAGTGTAGCAGGCAAGCAGGGAGTGTAGCAGGCAACGAGGGAGTGTAGCGCAAGGGAGTGTAGCAGGCAACCAGGGAGTGTAGCAGGCAGGCAGGGAGTGTAGCAGGCAGCAGGGAGTGTAAGCAGGCAGGCAGGGAGTGTAGCAGAGCAGGCAGGGAGTGTAGCAGGCAGGCAGGGAGTGTAGCAGGCATGCAGGGAGTGTAGCAGGCATGCAGGGAGTGTAGCAGGCAGGCAGGGAGTGTAGCAGGCAGCAGGGAGTGTAGCAGGCAGGGAGGGAGTGTAGCAGGCATGCAGGGAGTGTAGCAGGCAGGCAGGGAGTGTAGCAGGCAGGCAGGGAGTGTAGCAGGCAGGCAGGCAGGGAGTGTAGCAGGCATGCAGGGAGTGTAGCAGGCAGGCAGGGAGTGTAGCAGGCAGCAGGGAGTGTAGCAGGCAGGCAGGGAGTGTAGCAGGCATGCAGGGAGTGTAGCAGGCAGGCAGGGAGTGTAGCAGGCATGCAGGGAGTGTAGCAGGCAGGCAGGGAGTGTAGCAGGCAGGCAGGGAGTGTAGCAGGCATGCAGGGAGTGTAGCAGGCATGCAGGGAGTGTAGCAGGCAGGCAGGGAGTGTAGCAGGCATGCAGGGAGTGTAGCAGGCAGGGAGGGAAGCAACCCCAGAGAGGACTTTGATATGTGAATCCCTTATGGAGGGGATTCACCTTCCTAACAATAATCAGTGCTCCTCCTCTCCTCTTCCCAGTCTTCCACAAGCCAACAAGTGTTTTCAGTAAAGGTATGTAACAGTGATTTAAATGTTCATTTATTTTATTTAGTTCTCATTGTTTTCTGTATGTAAAACTATAATTAGTCTTTAAAAAATGTATTTTTTGTTAATATTTTTGGGTGTCTGGAATGGATTAATTGTATTAACATTAATTCTTATGGGAAACATTGCTTTGAATTTAGGCCTTTTCGAATTTAGACCGATCTTCTGGAACGGATTACAGCCGATATTCGGGGTTCCACTGTAGTTAGTAAACCTTATGATTAGGCTGCCCAAAATGTATCTGTAGAATCAGTGGCTTTCTCAAGAACCTCATACAGGATGGCTCCACTTATTTGGCACTCTCTTTTAACTGTTCCGTGGTTTTGCTAGTTTTCAACTGAGTCACTGTTTATTACGTTCAGTGCTTTTACTGCTTTTCCTCCATTTTTATACTACAGCTGCATAAAGGAAGGGTGGCCAGCGCTATACTTTTAGTGTCGTATGTACTGTGTATCTATTTTACTTTATCTGTTATTTTTTATGCCTAGCTGTACTGAGCACTTAACCCTTAAACGGTCCAAACGTATATATACGTTTTTCCAACATTTGAAAGTATGTAAAAAAATGTAGATCTTCTTTCTCGTTTTACATTTAAAAATGTGTAAAAAAAACTTATCTACATTTTTTTTTTTTTTTAAATATGTAAAAAAAAAAAACGTAGATCTACTTTTGTAGCACTACGAATTTGAACGTCGATCTGTTTGGACCGTTTAAGGGTTAAGGGTTAATATACAATAGTTTAAGCACATCATCAGGCATTTTAGTTGCATTCGATAACAAAAAACTACTCTTTTCTACTCAACGGTGATTTTCACTTATCACACGGGGTCGGGAAATTAAGAGCCGTACAAACATGGCCCTGCCTGTGTAGAATCTGTTAATCGATGTTATGATATGATCAAATTCACTTAATGACCTACCTGTTTAATGACTGCTCGAACTTATGACTAGCTCTCCAACCTCTGTACTGTATGTGTATTTTACTTTTTTATAGTTCTTTAACCCTTTGGGGGTTTCGGACGTACTAGTACGTCTTACGACCCAGGGTTTTTGATGTACTAGTACGCCTAAATTCTAGCACCCTCAAATCTAGTGAGAGAAAGCTGGTAGGCCTACATATGAAAGAATGGGTCTATGTGGTCAGT